GAGCTTTCCATAGTTTAAATTTTAGTTTACGCTAACATATCCACAAATAATTTGTGAAAATGATAGATGTAATAACTGTTAGCTGAAGGAAGAAAATTTTATGAGAAACACTTTGAAAATACTGATTTATCAACTCATACAAAATGAAACTTTCTGCATACATAAACATCTGGAACAAACTTTTAACTTACTTGTAATATATTTACATAGGATACAATTTTGCATGGGAAAGAGGGCTTTTTTCCTTCTTCAAATACAAAACCACAACACATTTATAATTAAAAGTTTCTGAGTTTCTGGTTTGCCCATCAGGCAGTTTGTGCACTAGGTAATTTTGTGTGGCTGAAACCGCCACAGGGAGGGGAATAAATAGAAGTAACAGGAAGCTAGGCAAAATCTGAGGAACTTGGTTAACATTAAGTATGTAAGTACGCCTATTGATTAATCCCTTTACAGAGTCGTATCCTAATCCTTACTTTAGATAGCATGTGACTTCAGGACTCTAAAGTTGAATACAACATCTAGTGCTTTTGTATGGTTTGATATCACAACCTGCAGTCACACACAGTGATTTACATGCAGTAATGCAATCTGCAGTCTCATAGCAGAACACTTACAAACCCCAGTTTTACAAAATGTTATGTATAAATCAGAAATTACAATGGAATGCATATACCATTGACTCCTTTGTGCAATTTTCCTGTGAATTTTAATTGGAATTGCTGTGACCTACAGTTGGCTTATAGTGGTCTTACAGGGCCTTAAGCTCCACGAAGACACCTAAGGCCAAAGGAACAGAGAGATTCTTTTTCTTTTCTTCAGAGGGAGACATATCTCTGAAGTCATAGCAGTTGAGGCATTTCCTAAATGAGCTTTTAAAAACCTGGGTAGTAACACTAGTGCTTGCAAATTTTCTGTGGAAAATGGCAAGTTTAGCAATTGTTTTTATTAATTGTGCCACTGAAATACAATATTTGTTAGAAGAATCTAAGCTTAGATATGTACAGCAGCTGAAGTGCTGTATTTCGGACTTGTGCTGCATATTCATCGATTTTGATAGAGCAACAGTTTCTTTTCTTTCACCTTGAATGTTGACAATCAGCACTGAGTTATCCAGACAGGTGAGTTATCCCAAGCTTGTGATCATTTGGGGGTTTTCCGCTTGTGTTATTTTATCTTGTTTATGAAGGGCTGTTTTTTATTTGAAAGTGTACAACAATCATGGTTGTGTGATTCTACCTTTGGACGGGGAGCGGGTTATCAATAGCTTTGTAAACTTATCCATAGAAAGGCTTCCCTGGTGTCTTTCTCTGCCTCAGAATTTGTGGTACATACCTGGCTTAATGGATAAATGTAGTTGTGTTGGCTTCAAAAGAAGTAGAATGATCCACTTATTCATCCATTATTTTTTTACCCATCTTTTCCATGAGTATATATGTGCTTTCTTTTAAGAGATATATTGTTTCAAAACCATAATCGCTTTAAATACATTACAGAATACCATTTCAGAATAAAACACTTACTTTTTTAAATTGGAAATGAGTCTTCTCCTTGAGTTTTATTTTGGAATAGTGAACTGCTTGAAGTTTAAACAAAATATTTCTCTTGAAAGAGAATGCTGTGTTTCTTTTGATCCCAAGTGGTTTGTCATTTGGGGGACAGAAGGGAAGAAGGAATGATTTCAGAACTGACAGACATGAATTTCAGAAGTAATAAGGATTTTAAAGAGCACTCATTTTGCTTTGACTGAAACTGTAACCTGGAATTGCCAACTCTTTAATCATAAACTTCGTTGTATCACACCACGTGTATGAAAGGTAGCTATTAAAAGCAAGAATTTAATATTCATCCTTTGATAAGCCAAGGCAGGATTTGGGCATGAGAAAAGAAGAAAGGAGCAGGCAAGCATAACACTTACCCAATTTTACCTTGCCTCCTCTCTTCCTTCCTTCCAGCAAAGCTAAGAGGAGTCAGTGCCTACGGCCTATATCTACAACGCTGCCTTCTTCCATGCACCACACCTGCTGTCTTTCCAATCAGTAGAAAGTTGCCACTCACTATAATCACAATTGTATCAGACCAGTAGCCTTCTTTCAAAGGGAAAACCCCTGCTGTTCCCACCCTTCTTATCTCTAACACCAGAAGTGACAGCAGGGCAGGATTCCTCCTTAATGTCTATTCAGCAAATTCAGAAGAACACACTGGGAGAACTGCTGAAATTTTTGGGTCAAAATTAATCTCTTAAAATGACATTTGAAAAATTGGGGCTTGGATTCTGATAGGCAATCAACTGTTATCTTTTTCAGTCCCCTCTTCTCACTGCTTTTCCCTCAGCTACTAATGAAACTGCTTTTATATCAAGCAAGTCCTTTGGATGGAAGAGCAAAACTGATCTGTGTATATGTTATCTATGTTTTAATACTTTTTAATAACTTAATTGATACAAACTGACAGTGAATCCATAAAATGCATGCTTTTCGGTACTTTTTAAAGAACACCTCATTTTAATATTGTTATTTTGTCTTATTACGAGAGAAGGAAGTACTGCCTGGTTTCTGAAGCAATGTAAAGAAAATAGCCTTGAATATGTCAAAATGAGAAAAAGCCACATGGATCTTTGAAATCATATTTATAGCAATCGTTTCCATCGTACTGCTGGAAGTGTCAGAAGGAATATGAGTCTGTACAGTGTATACATGTTTGAGTTGCTCTTTCATTTGCTTCAGTTCTGTTTTTGGATTGGGAAGCCAGAAGACTGTAACTGCAATACACGCTGGCATGTGTAAATGTGGTAGCTGGCAGGAGAAAGAAGGAAATCTCTGTTTAAACATGCGTGATGAAGTCTGAGGATGGTTTTTAAAGAATATTTCAGAATGCAAACCTGGCAGATTTATGATAAGATTTATTTTAACGAATTGTTTCTGCTTTAAAGGTCAGCGAAAAGGCATGTAAGGTTGTGCTGTGATTAAGAATGGCAGGGACCCCTGCTCCAAGTAACTAGGGGCGTGGTGAGTTCTGACCATCACAACATCCCGCATCCCCAGGGCAGCTGCTATCCAGGTTGTTTCCTGACACAATTAAGAGTAGCCTCAGGCTTGCCATAGTTTGTGCTAGAGAGTATCAGCATCTCCTTCCTACATCTCTGAAGGTGGGTATAGCAGTGCCTCCCAGCCTCTCATGCCAACAGGGTGCAGAGAACCCAGCTGATGTGGCCCTTGTGTCAGAAGCTTCTCAGGGGACTGTAGTCAAGTCAGACCCATCTATAAATATATAGGGATGTCATCCTTGTCTCATAAAGGCATTGTGAGGGTAAACATATTAAGCATTGCAAGTCTCTGTTACTTAAATAAGGAAGCCATATAAATAGCTTTGGCAGATAAGAAGTGATCTCATTCTTTCTTATTAACAGATAGAACCTACGTAAAACATAGATAATGTGCTTTTGTTTAGTGATATTAGTGAAGTTGTCTAGATAACAATTTCAAGCAGCAGTGAGGACTGTCTGTAAATTTGGAAGCTGTCTCTTTTAATGATTCCCATTATAATACCAAGAACAGATTTTTTTTTTTTTTAAGTCCATATACCAAAATAAAAACTGTGAAGATTTGTATGATCAAAATAGCATATATATCTAGGTTGGAAAGGAAAGAAGGTGCATTATAACTGCATGGAACAGATTTTACTTATGACAAAAAAATTGCTTCTATTAATGAAACTTATTTTCTTGTTTTGCAGCTTGCAGGCCTGGATTCTATAAAGCATTTGCTGGAAATGTAAAGTGCTCCAAGTGCCCTCCACACAGTTTGACTTACGTAGAAGCAACTTCTGTCTGTCAGTGTGAGAAAGGTTACTTCAGGGCTGAGAAGGACCCACCAACTATGGCATGTACCCGTAAGTCTGATCAGTACCAGTATCTGCAGTTCTCTTCTCCTGCGCCTCATTTATTTATTTTTGTGTTTTAAAAAAAGGATATCAGTTTGTACATTTTGTGAAGAATCCCATTAAAGATAACAAAAAGATTTTTAAAATCAAAATTCAAACATCATATTTCTATTTAGATATCCCTAAGAATACTGACATGTTTCTTAGTTTGGTGACTTTTTAACTTGTAGTTCTGAGAGATAATACAAAGTGTGTAAGCATTGTCATATAGATAACAATGTTGTGTTTTATCTACCAGTATGTATTCTAGATACATGAAAATATGCTTGTACAAAAACTTTCAAAAAACTGAGGAGTCACGTAAAGAAAAAAACTAATATAACATACTCTGCTGTCTCCCCAGCTTTAAATGAAAATTATAAGACAAATATCATCCCAACACAATTGAATAAAAGCTAAACTCTCTAAAAAGAGACAAGAAAATCGTAAAAGGAAGGAAAAAAGATGTATCCAATCAGAAGGAGATATAATTAAACTCTCTTGCATATCATCTTCTTTCAACAGAGAGTTATTCCCTCTTATACAACTGTGATAATGAAAATTCTTTAGAATTTTTGGCAATTTTTAAAATACAACATTTCATGATTTTTTACTAACCTAAATTTGTCATTAAGACAAAACTGATGCCCAGCAATCTAGGGGCAGAAATTCTGACTGAGAAGAGATTTTTATTACTTTGATCAATGTGCTCATGTCTAGAAACGTAAAGCATAAATTTTCTTTTCACTTAATAAAATATTTCTCATAGATTTTCATATGTGGTTTGTTACTCACTGGGATTCATTTATTGATCATGAAGCAACTATATCTGTTTAATCTCAAAACCGGGAACAAACAGCAGCATTTCAAAATCTGTGGGTGAAATACTATATTTACATATAAACTCCTATTATTTAGTAAAGATGATTAAAATCTGTTTGTAAATTTTCTAAGATACCTAGTTTTCTGTGTAGCATTTTGTTAGCTCTTTTGGTGGAGGATTTGATTCAAGTACATTTTTTGCCACAGTCGTCTTGTTAAGAGAATTCTAAAAATATTAACGTGTTAAATGCATGAAGTATTTTAACAGACTAAGTATACGAAAAGCTTAAGAGATAAAACCATGAAAACAAAGTAGTGCTGCAATAACCATCAGTGTATAGTCATAATTTTGGTATGTTTACACTGCGTAAGGCAGCACCATGTAAAAATAACTGAGCTGACACTAGCAGAATTGAACTACTTCCTGTGCTCATGCTAGTCTCTCCAAATGGCACCGTACTGGGCAAATGGGGAATATACCAGGTGATTTGGAGCTGGTTTACGAAGTCATAGGCACTCTGTAATCCTGAGGTCATTACGTAGACCAAGACACTGTCCATCCACTAAATGGGAGTGATGGACACCAAAAATGGCATTCCTCAGATCCAAGGCACTTAGCAGAAAGTTGTCTAATCTAACCATAGGGTTTTCAGATGGGAAGGGTCAATCCAGCCTCCAGCTACTGAAGGGACATAGGGTTCAGAGAGGCACCCCAATCCAATGCACACAATCTGCTGTCAGCTCACTCTGGAGCAAGGCACATAGGCCTACCTTTTTGCACAAAATATGTGAGAGAATAAACAATGTTGTTCCAGACTTCCCGCAGGAAAATGGTGATTACAAATAATTCTACTCAAATGAGTGCCCCAAGCACAGGCCATTAAAAACTTATGCACAGAACTAACACATCCCAGGCGCTCTTGACAGTTTCACACTTAGAAAGATGGTCTCACTCATGCATTATGCAGATGCGGTTCCATATTATTTATAAGTCATTGATTTTTCATCTCCAAAAGACAGTTCTTCTCTGAAAAAATTACTCATACATGGCATTATGTTTCCATAATAATCTTTCAGGGCACAATTTTAAGCCCTGCTACCCATTAGTATGGATAAGGTAGGGAGGAGCATGAGAGGCCTGTGGCATCAGGGAGCAGGTACCTACAACACCCCAGTGCTTTCCTAACAACAGCGGGGTACTGAGAGCTGCTTTGGCCAAAAACTGTCAGGGAAGTCTTGCTGCCAGACCTCTCCGTTCCTGCTGATGATGTCAGCCAAAGCAACTGAGTGAGCGGAGGCAGGGAAGAAATCAACCACAACAGAGGTACCAGTGCCCCATCTCACCCCAACTTGGGAGAAATAAGAAATAAAGGAGACAGTGAACCACATTCTAGTTTCTGCCTTGCTCTTGGTTCAGTGCCACCATGCATTGCCTCTCATTCAGCCTAGACTGCAAGGTATCAGTCCTTCATTGACTGTAACAGGAGATGTATTCATCTTATACCTATGATCATGATTATTTCACTAATTGTCAGTTCTGCAAATGACACCAAGACTCTTGACAGGCAGACTGCGTTCTTATCTTCTTGCACATCATCAGTAATGAAGAGTCTGGAGGCCAAATTGTTCCCTAAGTGATATCTTTAGCCCCACTGGTTTCAAATTACGCTCTCAGTTATTAAAATTATGTTTCTGTCATAAATACAACCTTACTGCCTTCGGTGGGTCTGTGCAGATGTGGCTAATTTAAATTTAATAAACAAAGATACAGATATGAGTAGAATTTAGATTCTTCCTTCCAAACTGTCATGCTTTACTGTAATAAAAGGAGTTGAAAAGTTAGGAACAAAATGAGCCAATTTGACTAAATAGAGAGAAAAGGCTGTGCAGTAAGAAAATGCCTTTTCTACATAACCACTTTTGGGGCAGATCTGCATTTTTGATGTTCATTTGCAAATTTGTATCCTGACATGTGAGATGTGACATAAGAGATTAGAAATTTTTCTTGTGACGTTTTAAATGAGAGTTGTTCTTGAATTAAACACATGTGCTGGTTTCAGCTGGGATAATTTCGTTCCTAGTAGCTGGTACAGTGCTGTGTGTTGGATTTAGGATGAGAATAATGTTGATAACACACCCATGTTTTAGTTGTTGCTAAGCAGTGCTCACACTAGTCAAGGACTTTTCAGCTTCCCATGCTCTACCGACTGAGAAGGCTGGAGGTGCACAAGAAGCTGGGAGGGGGCACAGCCAGGACAGCTGACCCAAACTGGCCACAGGGACATTCCATACCATGTGACGTCATGCTCAGTAGAGAAACTGGGGAAAGCTGGGCGGGGGGGCCGCTGCTCGGGGACTGGCTGGGCATCGGTCGGCGGGTGGTGAGCAGTTGTACTGTGCATCACTTGCTTTGTGTATTATTATTATTATCATTTTATTTCAATTATTAAACTTTTTATCTCAACCCACGAGTTTTTCTCACTTGTGCTCTTCCAATTCTCTCCCCCATCCCACCGGGTGGGGGGGGGAGTGAGCGAGCGGCTGTGTGGTGCTCAGTTGCCGACTGAGGTTAAACCACAATTCCTCACTCCAGAATTTTTCCTCAGTACTGGAAAACTTGCATATGCAGCATTATGGAAAATAAGGACCTTGATTTACGAGACTGTGAAATTAAGAGTTTAGCTTCAGACATCCACTTTTTTCAAGATGAGCTTCAAATCTAGTTTCATTAATTCTATGAAAGTGCATACTGTATGCTTTTCCAAAATTGTACAGTTCCCATTTTTACTTCATGTAACTGTATTTTGTAAAAGAAGAGTGTGCACTTTGCAGAAAAGCATAATAGAAATCTGATTTTAATAAAAGGAATGAAAATTACATTAGGATATATTGTTAATCTTTCTCCTAGTCTTTTTTCATTTGATTGGCACTTGTTAACAATCTCTTGCTGCTACTTTTTCTCCTTATTGTATTTCTTTGCCATATGCGAGTACTCTATCAGTGATCTCTCTGCATACACAGTGAGCAACAAATAGCATCATACCTAATCCCCTGTCTGATTACTCTGTACATAAACTCTAACATTTCCCACTATAATGTAATTGGATAAATTGATCCATCTTTTCAAGGTCAAAGGCAGGCAGGCTTATATTGGGTGTCTCAGTCTGGATGCATCTCTTTTCATGTTATGCTTAAACAATTTTGAACCAAACAAACTTATGCTCTGTTCAATAACCTCTGCCACAAACTGTATCCTCTATTTTTAAGAGTCAACGCTGTATTCCAGCAGCAAAATCAAGCAACATACTTGAAGCCTTCAACTCTACTGCCTCTATTGTTATTTTTATAAATATACTTGTTTGAAGTTTATCATTACGCTCAGACTTGGAGTATTGGTTTGCAGTCACTGGCTTCCATTCTTCCTGCCTGCCTCAGAAAAAGAATAAGTGATCTGAAAAGGAAAAAATGTAATACAGCATTCTTGATCAAGTGACACTACTTATTTATGCTACATGTATGTATGTATACAAAAAAGCAATTATGAACTCAAGTGGCACAGCCAGATGTTGATTCTGAGTATTCTCAGAATACGATGTTTAATTTTTGCCCTTCCACTGTAAATTCAGTAGTCAAATAACACACACTTCTAAGTCCAATAGTTGGTAATGGACAGTTCTCACTTAAAAAACAAGTTTTTTTCCAGACAGTCATCACTCTGTAGTGTTTAAAACACTGCATTGCCCTCACTAGACTTCTGCAGCGTTGGGTTTGCTCCTCCCTCCTTCCATAAAGAGCAAAATGCACTTCACCTTCACAGAGGGGGAGAATACGCAAAGTAAGATGGAGGTGCAAAGCACTGCATGAGGCATAAACTCAGCTCAGTTGCTTTTGGAGTGGGCCTGCTTCTCCATAAGACATCAATGCCAGTCTACTCCACAGAGAGTGTAGAAATACTTCTTATATTATAATTTGTAAATGAAGCAAAAGACATGGCTCACACTCGGGCTGTGTTTCATCTAAGAAGCAGAAGAGCTGCGTTTTTTTAATGCTCATCCATCTGAACTGTTTTACTCTCTTGCATAAAATCCAAAGTCATGAATTTTGCTGTGAGGAAAGGATCCATCATTTTCACCAATATACTTGTTTTCCTTAAAAATCAATATATGGAAATCCCTGAGAGCTTTGCACACAGATGTCTGCAGAAGGCTTATTGCTGCCAAGTTTTTCCAATGTGTCAAATAATCTTTGTATAATTTATAAATTATAACAAAGCAATCAGGCCACATTCATAAAAGCCCAGTGACACATAATTTAGCTGAATCTGAGGATTAGAATTAATTGTCTCTCTTTGTTCCAAGTTCTAAATCTTAGCAAATGATTCACTGCATGTCATTACAGCTTAATATTTGCATGAAATCACAGTTTAACTGACATAATTTAACAGCAATTAAAAAGCTATTTAATCGTCATGCAAATTGGCATGAGGGGCGTTGAGTATGAAGGGTGTCTGAGATTTTTTTCAGTATTTGCAGGCGGACAGTCATATACTTTCAGACACCCCTAACACAATTGATAATGTTGTCCCTATTCATTGAAATGTGATATACAATAATTCATGTTTTCTCTTACAATTGAGGATTAAGTCCCAAATCATGAATATAACAACCTTCACTCTCCAGTACAAATAAAAAATAAATTTTAAAAAAAAGTGTATTTTATCTACTGTATTGGTTCTTCTACTGATGCCATCTGCATATAGTATAACAAAAATCTGATAGAAAATCAAAATTGACAAAGCCAGGCAAAACTCTCCTATTGCCTGGATTCACATTAATTCCTGTTTTGGCCTGCCAAAGTTGATGAAGTAACATAAAAAAAACCTGAGCTATGATGACCCATTGTCATAATAGCTATAGTTTATGTAAGAATAAATTTAAGCCAGTTTTAAAACATTGGCTCCAGTCCTTCGAGCAATTACACACATGCTTAGTTCTAAGTGCATGAGTATTACCAATTATTTCAAGGGGATTACTGATCCGCTTAAAGTTATGCACATATGTAAGTGTGATTAAGGCTCATCCTCCATATTCCTAAAACTCCTTGTTGGTTTTAACAGTGGGAATTTGTTAAGAGCAGTCATTATTTAATTCTCACAGCATGTTTTTAGAGGAAACATAATTATTCCTGTCTTCTGCACATAAATAAGAAGAACTGAAGCTGAAGTAATCTGTGCTAGTTTTAGTAATCTGTGCTAGTTTTAGCTTACTCTGATCTCAGGACTCTTTTCCAGAGTAGCTAGAACCATCAACTTCACAGTAATTTTACAGGAGGTTTAGAGACTTGTAAATCTGAGACACTCTAAGGTTGTAGGAGCTTTTGGACCACATCAGCATCTTCAAGGCTGTACCTTGTCTCTGTCTTCCACACCGTTGGAAAATGATATATCAATATAATTAGCCTTTGTTAACAAGTTGCATTTATAAATACTTACATATTACAGTATTTCAGACGCTTTGGTGTTAGACTTATCACAAGGTCACAGTCAAAGACCAGGAAGGAAATACTCAAAATAATCCCTGTGACCATAAAACCTCCAAATTACAAAAATAATTTTCATCTGACGGGTTCCAGAAATATCGATTTTCAGTACAAATGAGCCACATACCGTTCAGCTAAATGATTCCTTGATATGCTGAAAAATAACTGGTCTTTACTGTCAGGGGCTTTTTGGCCACTAACTATGAACTCTGCACAGATAGATAGACGAATAAATACTCACACATTCAAAATATTTTAAACTTTCTTGCCCACTAAAAAAATGCAAAGCAATGTAACACCTCCAAATATTTTAATTATCAAGTGCTTGAAATCCAGCAGCTAACTCATCATTTACTTTAGGGCAAAAATCATTTTAATGAAAACATAGTCTCAGCTCTTTAAAGTTACAAATAAATGCCAGAAAGAAAAAAGCAACTCAAATGTTCAACTACAGTTCACAGAAAACCTTAACATTTATTAGTTCACGTTATCCCTCCCATGCCATACAAACCTTTTTTCCCTTTACAAGCATTCCAGCTTTTATACCCACATTTATGCCACATAAGTAAACAAATAGCATCACTTAAAAATTACAAATGTTGGTGAATAGTGACCTTTTTTCTGCAACTATTACTGCCTCTCTCCTTCATTAAAGTTAGTATTCATTCTTGCTGCTATGTGTAGGTACAACTGTATAGATCTTTACTACTATATAGTTTATTAGTAAAATGTAAGATATAGTAATGTTTTCTGTTAAAGTATGGTCCATTTTAGTTTTCAGGGTCATCTTCACGAATTAAGAACTTGAATAAATGGATCTATTTCAATTGTAGGTGAATATTTCAGAACCACTCATGGGCTAGATTTTCTAAATCAATACATTTTGTTTAGTCAAATAAATAGCTAAAAGTTTGACAATCGAATCAGTGTATCAGTGCTGTAGTAATTGCAGATCTTAAGGAAAAAAAGAAATAATGGAATTGAATGATTAGAAAAAAGTTTTTTTTTTTTTTTCTGAGATTTGAAATCCTGATTTATATATGAAATGTTGGGAGGAGCTTTGATATTTTGGTTTCCTTCCTAATGCAAAGTTCTGACCATTTATGTGACCATCCTTTGGGCACAAGGTCTTGCCCTCATCCTACAAGTAGTTAAACTGGACTTTACAAGAGTGTTGATCAATACTTTTGTTTGTTTCTTTATTTAGTTCTTCTCTCATTGTCCTAAAGTTTTTATAAAGGACATTATGATATTTTAATTATCTAACTCTCTCAGATTTACTGTGCCACTCAATTTGTTGGGTGAAATACATTCTGTGTAAGAATTAGCTGATGTCATTTGCAAATGTTTCATACAGTCTTTCAGTCTGCTTGAGAGACCCTGAAGTAATGAAAAGCTCACTTGAAGTTTGAACAGTATCTCAATCAAAACTTTATACTTAAGTCTTGCTGGCAGGTTGTATAAATCATGAAAAGCAGCAAAGCAAGCTGCAAGTTTTCAAAGTTCTGCTAACCATTGGCTAAGCAATCCGTGTCCACTGTGATTTTATGTTGAGAGCTGGGAATATAACGCTTATTCAACTCATTCAGCTCAAAAAACCCCGGAGATCGCCAGTTGAGTTTACCACAGTCATCTTATATATATCAAAACCTGGAGTAGAAGGCCTTGCATTTCGCCAAATCTGTGTTTCTTACATAATTTTTATGGGCATATTTTGGGGCTAGACACAAATTGCTTTTGAAAACCATGTGTCTGTAAGTGCTTGGTTGAAATATGTTAAGTGGAAGAAGAATATAATAAGAAATGGAAATAAGATTATTCAGACTTCCTTTAACAGTTTCTGCCTTTCCTTCACCCCTTCACTAATTCCTATCTGAAAAATCATTAGGTGGTAAAGTTCTTCCATCAGACTGTGGAAGCTGATTTATAAAGCCTGAGATGATTTACATGTGATCCTACACAGTAAGTCAGCATAACAGCTTAAAACTTGTTGAGGTGGACATACCTTGACTATTGTGGGATCCATGGGAAATGGTCACTTGTGGTTCATCCGGCAGTACACAGAAAGCTTTGCTGCCTGCTTGCTAGCTGAGAGCTTTCCTATACTCTGCCTGCCACTACTATCTTTGCATCCCTCCCCACAGTCTTCAAGAATTATTTTTTCTCCTGCTTTGCCGACATCCTTTTGGATCTTTAGCTTGCAAGGTTGATGTCTTCACTGTTATACTGATGCTGATGAGATGCCAGGTGGGAAAGAAAAAACTTGTAAACTGTCTCTCGTGCCTAATAGTCTTGGCCTGTTGCCACCTAACTCTCTCAATGAACAGCAGCAAAGAAATCCCTGGGGATAAGCAGTGGAGGATAGAAAAAATACCTGGCACTGCAGAACTAGTACAAACAATTTTACCTCTTGTAGTTATTCCAAAGCTGTTATTTATTTATTATTCAATTTAACTCTTATAAAACATTAAAGATTATAAGTATCAGAAAAGCCTACATTACTAGCCATAAAATAAGGAAATAAATTTTGTGGTTAAAGCTCTACCCCAGTATCCCACAAGATCAACAGATATTTAGTGCAAATTTGTGTTATCAAGTCTAGGTTTGACATTCCCAAGTCATTTTTATATTGCCTTAAATTACTTCTGCATTAATTCTAATTTATTTAGATTATTCAGCTTTTTATGATCTCACCTATTTATTATTCCTGCTTAATTTTCAAGGATTGTAAGTATTTAGATAATTTTTCATTTTTCCATTGAATTTGTTATTGAAACGTACTTAGCTTCTATTTGCAAATAATTGCCTTAAGACTAAAATATTTTTTCATGTTTTTTTTTTCTCCAAAATAGACAGCTGTCACTTAACAGCCTTTTCCCTCCTTCTCTGCAGGGCCACCTTCTGCTCCGAGGAATGTGATTTTTAACATCAATGAAACAGCTCTCATGTTGGAATGGAGCCCCCCGAGCGATACCGGAGGAAGAAAAGATCTCACTTACAGTGTCATCTGTAAGAAATGTGGGTTGGACGCCAGCCAGTGTGAGATTTGTGGGGGAGGTATCCGTTTCATCCCCAGGCACACGGGACTCATCAACTCCTCTGTGACAGTGCTTGACTTTGTGTCGCACGTGAACTACACCTTTGAAATAGAAGCCATGAATGGGGTCTCAGAGCTGAGTTTCTCTCCCAAGCAGTTCACAGCTATCACGGTTACCACAGACCAAGATGGTAAGTCCCAGCACTGCATGTCTGTCACTGTGCCCCTGTCATCTATGCACTTATTAGGGGGATCGTTTTGTTTCTTGGAAGTCTGGGTCAGCAAGTTAGGATGTTTTGCAGATTGTTACACGTTTTTAACTGCTTTTGGTGAGGACTTCCAGCTTCTGGAAGCTGCTGAGGGCATTAAATATTTTTGTCAGTTGGCCCTTGACTCCAATACACAGGGCACAAAAACATATCTTCCTGTTTAAAATTAAGTGCAAGCTTTAACTACCTGAGACTAGCTGTATCAGTGGTTCATCAGAACTGAAGGCTGTATCTGGTGGTTTTCCAAGTCTTTCCTTATGATTTCCGTTTTGAAAGAGTAAAACACCCCAGGTTATCTATTGCAATTTCACAATTCAAAGATGAAATGAAAGTGAACTCACTTCCTTTAGTATCCATGTTTCATAGTACTAATACAGCACGCTTCCCTGTAAGATATTTCAACATCTGTATGAGCCATTTCCTTAGGTGAGGTATCATAATAGATTTTTTTGTTCCTTTAATTGTCCACTTTGCATTACTGTTTTTGAGCTTTTTCTTCCCCCCGTTTCAGTTCAAATTCATGTCCAAGACCGACCTTTATGAGAAACATGGGAAACAAAGAGAGCTCTATATTTTTGTTTATTTCTGCAACTTTTTCCTCTTCCATCTTTAGAAATACTTACTATGCCAGGAAACAGCGTCACAGGTTACCAACAAAGCCACCTATATAGCAGTGTTATCTTCTGGCTTGTGTTACTGTAGATGAGAAGGTTATTTCAAAATTATCCCTTGCTGACATTTGTTCCAGAAATGGTTTCCACCTACTGTGCAGTGACATTGCAACTGTAGCTGAATGTAGAACAGGAACCGAACTGGCAAAACTACGGTTTTGAGTAGAAGACCTTTGATAATATGAAAGTATTTACTAAAAGTGCTAATGTTCAGAAAGATCCTATTGTGTTCCACTTGTAGAAAGGCCGTGGGTTCTTTCATTGATCAGCCTAGCAAAAATCTGCTTACCTGTGTATCTGGGACAAGTAGTTTTGTTGATGAGTAAGTAATGACTTGTTTGCCTTTGGGCATACAAAAATTAACAGCTTGCTGTGATGATGATGATGATAATGACAATGATAGTACTAATAATATTCATGAAAATGGATTAGAAAAAGCATGAAAACTACTCACTCACCATTCATGTGATGATGGTAACAGAAGAGCTAATTATCTAAGATGCCTAATGATATACGCCTTGCACTGAGAATTGCCTTAAGCTCTTAGGCTATGTATCATGTTGTGAACCTGTATCTCTCTTTTCCTTTCTAATTAAAGGAAAAAAATGAGGTGCCAGAAACTACCCCTATATATACTTATTTTTAGATGTTTTGTTACATGGTACTAAATGCAAGTCACCAAGCATGCACAGGTGGAGGTCACCAGATATATGGTTTGTTTTTAAACTGGCTAACAGCTGTGTGAACACAGCTTGTGATATGTATTTAAGCGGTGGGCTTTTAAAAAATGTCTTGCTGTTATCTGTTCCTGGTTTAAGGATATAGATTTTCACTGCAGTTTACTCAAAACAGGGAAAAGACCAATGTTTTGATAATTTGTGACACGCTGACAGTAAACTCTAGAGTGTAGGCTGCTTGCATTCCCTATAATAATTCTTACATTACTAAAAATTATGTTGGAAGGGCTTCAGAGAATTTAAGACCAGATTTCCAGAATATCTGTCAGTTTATTTGGATATAAAAAGACAGTTTTGAAGGAGAAAGCATTGTAAAAAATGAAATGGAGGCATCTATAAAATGTAGTTTAAAGATAAAGCTTCAGAGAATTTAAGACCAGATTTCCAGAATATCTGTCAGTTTATTTGGATATAAAAAGACAGTTTTGAAGGAGAAAGCATTGTAAAAAATGAAATACAGGCATCTATAAAATGTAGTTATAAAGATAAAACCAATTTTGTAGGCTTACAAACCATGTAGTTGTATAAGATCATAAGCACGGTAACTATATATTTAAAAGTAAAGAGAGAAAGATAATGTCATATGAAATATGGATGAAAATTAATGGAGTTTTAGTTGATGGAAATTATTGAGAGGACAATGAACATTTTTTGTGAGATACTTTTAGTCAGAAATAGGAAGTGTAATGGAGAAAGCTAGAGTATCTAACCTCAGAAAAGGAAGCTGTAGAACTAAAGCTTCAGAACGTTGCAGAGACTTTATTAATGTTTATAAATCACATCGAAGTTCTCAGGTAAAAGGATTAGTGACCTTTTTATTTTTATTGTTAGCCAGCTATTAGTAAACAATTTATAGTTTTGCTTTTGCCATATTTACCAAAATACTAAATAATTGCCTTTATATGGCTTTTTTTTTTCTAGCTATACCGCCAAAGAGTAAACTCACTGTTGCAATCTTTCCTTGTAATCTTACTTATACTGAAATGGACAGTACTTATTGCATGGTGTTGCAGGTTTGTGCACATGTTCATATAAAACAAAGATCCAAGATTATATGCATGACATGACAACAAATCAAAAATATCTTAATGTGTACAAGGACTGCATTACCAGAAGTCCAAACATACTGGTTTAAAACAATTTTTCTCTTTTGATATGTGTCTAATGTGAAAGATCTAGATCTATAATAAATTATACCTACACAACATATTTATCCCATGCTCATACTACCTTTTTATATGTAATCTTTTCATACATACTGTTTTAATGTTTTTGGTATAGACGTTGCATGAAGTGATAGACTTCTTTATAAATATATAAATTGTTTTCTTCAATTGTCACATCTTTGTTAAGAATATAGAACAGTATCTTCAGCTCTTGTAAATCCAGTCCATTCTGTTAGCTGTAATAATTTACAGTAGCTGAGGAGCTAGCATGTTATTTTCTTTGAGCATATTGGGTTTACTTCCCTCTAGTGGCCCTTTCTTTTTGATGGTTTATGTGAAATTAACAGATTCTTCTTTAAACATGCAAAATTATGAGCTTGTTCTTCAGGGGTTTTTCTCTCTTTTTGGAGGAAATATTGCTGTTGGCATTTTGCTGAATAAAGTAATGCAATGAAGAGTACTGTGGGCATCCACAGAAACTGAAGAATTGTATTCTACAACAGTTAGTGAGCAGAGCAGTCTGAGAGCATCAAAGAGTGAGAATATTTGCTGACAGGAGAACTGAACTAGTTCAAAAGTGATTAAGGCTCATCTTTATGCACAGACCTCTACCACAACTAATATTAAAATCTTGACTACCTCCTCATGCAATCACCAGCATCAACAAGATTAAGTACACTGCTCAGCTCTAACAAGGACAAGAAGCAGACTAAAGGAAAATAACACTTTTAAAAGGCTTTGCAAACTGCATCCCGCAAACCTCTCTGCGGTTTGATGACTAAAGCATTACCAGACCTGATCAAATACTGAAAAAATATTACTAACATTAATGTAAGTCATATAAAAAGAATTTGGTAGCATTCATTACTTTTTTAGTTATTAATTTTGTACAAATATTTGTAAATTCCATATCCATGTTTTTGGTTTCCCCCCCAGGCTTCATAAGGAAACAAAGTTTCTGTGATCACATTGTCAGACAGCATAAAGAACTGTGAACCCATTAACCAACATGAGTTTGATAACAGAGAAAAAGATTTCACAGATATTTTGTGCTCTCAATGGAAGCATGAAAAATGACCACTTACAGTCACCAAGCTGTTGATTGGGTCTGCAAGTCAAAAAGCAAGGTTCGGCTACATAAGGCTTGCTTACTGGACTAGAGACACCAGCTGACCGACCACTTAACCTGTCTATTGGCTAGTCAGTAAAGAAAGAATATATATAGTTCCTGTATGACCACAGCACATGCTGTCCCTTGTCCAGCAAGTGTGGCAAACAAGGATGAGGTAGGGATGTGTTAGGAAGTGTAGATGTTGCAGATGGAGAGATGAGGGAAGTGAGCTACATGCTACTCTTGCGTAGCTTTGTTTCAAAATGTTTTGAGATATCAAAATAATCCCTACTTTAAATTCAGATAAATGGACAGATAGATAAACAGAACGAGATTCTGCTCAGAAAAGCACTTAAGCAAAGTCCCTGTTCAAGGAAGAACATTAGCACATATTAAGAGCTTTCCCAAATCACTGCCAAAGTAATTTGTAAACAACTGAAAGGTAAAACATGTTTTCAGAAAAGCCTCATCAAAAAATGTTTAACAATACTGTTGTTCAGAAAAGTGCCTGGATGCCTTTTCTTTATGGGAGAGAGAAAGTTTTATACAGCAGTAAATATGCTGAGTATAAAGTAATTGTACTCAATCAACTTTAAATCATTGTGTGAAGCAGCAGAGAATTATATGCTGAATTGTAATTTATGTTTCTCTTATGACTAATGGAAGCAGGAGACACCTCACTATATAACTTTCTTGGCATGCCTTAGAGTCTGCATTGCCTAAAGAACATTCAGAAGTACTTGAGGTTTTTCATACATAATTAAAGTAGTAAATAATGAATAATTAAGCAAAACAGAACTTAAAACAATAGTTCCTATTTCCAAATAATGGTCCACATACACATTCACTCAGTGGGCTTTCATATGTTGTATTACTTGAGAACAGAGGGGGTTTTCAACATTACACTGTGCAGAGGTGGAGTAGAGTCGCGAGACGTACCCTGAGTACATGATTATACAGACAGATAGTGGCCTGCTCCGTTTCAGTCCACCATTTCAACTGCATCACTGAGGAGCGGCAGTCCGTAGCTATAGTGTTTCTCTGACTGAGTAGTTTCCTCATTGTCCTGTCCGCATCTTCACCACATCATGTTCCTCCTGTGGGACTCCATGCTGGCAGCCCCCAGCTTACCTTTCACCTGCAAGTCCCAATGCAGTGACCTCCCCTAAAATCACTGTCCAGCCGTGGGACACTTCACGGGCATCGTTCCGTTCGTGGGCTCCTTCTGCATGTCTTT